TGCAAGCGGTCTCAGTGATTACAGCCACTTTCAACTCGCCGGGGCATTCGCCCTCAGTGGTGAGCTGGAAACTGCCCTTTCAATGCTACCGGTATCGGTATCTCCGAGCTTAAATGGTAAAGGAAACCCGGAACGGGAGACAGGTGGAACATTCAATTCGTCTGTTCGAGCCCAAGCCATCATGCTCGATGTGCTTGCCGAAGTTAACGAAAACCATCCATCAATCCCGATGCTCGTCAAGAATCTGAGTGAGGCAGCATCCGATGGAAATCGGTGGGGAACGACACAAGACAATGCCTTCGCGTTCCTTGCACTCGGTAAGATTATGAAGAAACAGATAGATAGAAATTATACCGGCACTTTCAAACTCAACGGTGAACATTTCGCTGACTTTGATGCGACTGAGATGCGCTATACCGACGAAGCATGGGACGGTGCGCGTGTACAACTCACAGTCAAAGGCAAAGGGAGTTGTTACTATTACTGGAGCGCGTTCGGCATCCAGCGTGATTCGTTTATTGAGGAATATGAACATGAACTACAAGTGCGCCGCCGCTATTTTAACAAAGATGGTGAAGGTCTCACCAGCACGTTTGTACACGGCGACCTAATTATCGCAGAAATAACAGTCAAAGCACTCACAGCGAATCTGGAAAATGTCGTCGTCGTCGATATGTTGCCCACAGGCTTTGAGATTGAGAACCCGCGTCTGGAGTCCCGAGCAGGGATTCCATGGCTGAAAGCGCAGGAATTCAAACCCGATTATCTCGACATTCGCGACGACCGTCTCATATTCTTCGGTACGTTCCCGCATCAACGCGAACGTAAATTCTATTATGCACTAAGGGCAGTTACACAAGGCGAATTTACCTTGCCACCTATCTCGGCAGAAGCGATGTACGATCCGACCAAATCTGCCGTAGTGGGTAGTATGGGTATCAAAATAGTTGCAGAATGATGAGAAGGAATAACTATCAGCAGTCAGCAATCAGCGGGAATAGCTATCGGCTATCGGCTATCGGTCATCGGTTAAAGAGGTTTTTGACTCAAGCAAAGCTACCTCTTAACCGACAACTGATAACTGAAAGCGAACGAATGGAGCGAACCGACAACCAGTTTTGCCGATTGCTGAGGGTTTTCAATTTAAAAAAGACGTTTTGGCTGCTGCTCCCACTTTTTATGATCGTCCTCTTTGCCGTTGCGAACTGGTGTTTCCCGCTGCCCAAAACACGCCTGCATCCACCCGTGTCTCGGATTGTTTTAGATCGAAATGGAGAATGGCTCCGTGCGTTCTTAGCTGACGATGGTATGTGGCGTTTTAGTCATCAGTCATCAGTAGTCAGTGGTCAGTTAAGAGGTGATTTGGTTGGACAAGATCCCTCTTTAACTGATAACCGAAAACTGAAAACCTTGACCAAGAACTCGTCTACAAATACTTTTGCTAAGGCGCGAGTTCTTGGTCAAAACTATTGGCTACACGAAGCAATACTAACAGCAGAGGATCGATGGTTTTACTACCATTGGGGGATCAACCCAGTGTCTATGGCAACCGCCCTCTCTGATAACCTCAAAGCGGGAGAGATCGTGCGGGGTGGTTCAACGATTACCATGCAGCTTGCACGACTGATGGAACCGAAAGCACGGAACGTTCCAAACAAACTTATTGAAATGTTCCGCGCCCTCCAACTTGAACTGACATATTCTAAATCCGAGATTCTCAATTACTACTTTAACATGCTACCGTACGGAGGGAACATCGTTGGAACAGCGGCAGCGTCTCGGTTTTACTTCAACAAACCGCAGCATGCTATTAGTCTTAGTGAAGCGGCACTCCTCGCTGCCATTCCGAACTCGCCAGAACGTTTGCGTCCGGACAAATTTCCAGAAAATGCGAGAAAGGCGCGAGCAAAAGTCCTGAACCAACTCCTGGCACGCAAAGAGATTTCCGAACAGCAGTGGCGGGAAGCATTGCAAGAACCTATTCCGACAAAACGTCATCCACTCCCATTTAATGCGCCACATCTCTCACGTATGTTGGCTAAAGAAGGGCGATGGAACACAGGGACCGGGGTCCCCACCCGTTACGAGGAAGGGTCAGCGGACGGCAGGATATACACGACAATAGACGCGAAGGTTCAGGAAACAGCGGCGCGTATCCTCCGCGAATATCTGAACGCGTCCTCGGAGGGCGTTGTAAGCCATCACAGGCAACCCCATAGTGCGAGCACAGGTGCAATCGTTGTTATGGATACCCGAAGCCGCCAGGTCTTGGCAATGGTAGGTTCCCACGATTTTTTTCGATCGGAGTGCATCGGGTCAGGTAAACGGTACACTTGCACCGCGTTCCCCGGGTTCCACACTTAAACCTTTCGTCTACGCACTTGGCATTGAACAAGGTTTGATTACACCAGAAACACTGCTCTTTGATGTCCCTGTTACATACAGCGGATATGAGCCGGTGAATTATGATGGCACATACAACGGCTATGTTACGGCCCGTCAGGCACTTGCCCGCTCTCTCAATGTCCCTGCCGTCAACCTTTATGCGCGTCTGAAAAATAGGACACTGCCCACTTTTCTCAAACAAGCAGGCATCTCCACACTCGCCCCTGCCAAAAAGTATGGACTCTCTATGGTTCTCGGTGGCTGTGAAGTGAATCTGCTGGAGTTGACAACACTCTACGCAGGTTTGGCAAATATGGGAGAATTCGCACCTTACCAACTCACGCTTCCTCAACCTATCAATGCGAGATTTCCCTTAGACGCTGGGAAGTCGAGCGAAATCACATCACATCGTTTACTCCGAAAGGAGACAAGTTTCATTATAACGGAGATGCTAACGACCTCACAACTACCCACCAACACTGTCAAAAATCCAGAAGCCTTTGAAATGGCCATGAATCTACCGAAGATTGCGTGGAAAACCGGCACTTCGTACGGACATCGGGATGCGTGGTGTATCGGGGTATTCACCGAAATTAACAATTGGCGTATGGCTCGGTAATTTTGACGGAAAAGGTGCTCCGATGTTGAGCGGTGCAGACGCAGCAACGCCCATTCTATTCGCGCTCTTCACTGCCCTCACAAGGCAAGACACGCATCGCTGGTTTACGCAGCCTGAACAACTGAAGATGCGAGAGGTATGCGCGCTCACAGGTGCCCCTCCTTCACCACACTGTCCTACTCGTAAAAACGATGTATATATCCCCGGTATTTCGGCTGTCAAAGCCTGTGCGATTCACAAACGCATCTATGTTGATGAAGTCACCGGTCACAGTCTCTGCTCTCACTGTCGGAATTTTCCAGCGACTCGAGAAAATTATTCTTCTGAAGAGCGTGGTCAATATTACACAGTAGATATGTCGCATAGCAATATGCAAATGAGAATATTTGAAGAGTGGCCCGCCGAGGCGGCGACATGGTTGGCAAAGAATGGATTTGCTGTGTCAGTGCTTCCTGAGCACAACCCATTGTGCACAGGCACAATTGCCGGAACCGCACCGGTTATCCTATCCCCGACAAAAGACACTGTCTACTACATACGGGACGGGGTTCCGTTAGCGCACCAAAAAATTCAGCTGTCAGCTTCAACTTCCAATCGGACACAGCAGTTATTTTGGTTTCTGGATGGTGAATTGATTTTCAAAGGGAACGCGGGGCAGCTGTACTGGCTCACCCCAGTCAAAGGGGAACATGTGCTAACATGTGTGGATGCGGAGGGACGCTCATCAGGTCCGCGCCCACTCCACATTTCATCAATACGGTAAAAAAAGCCATTAGCCATCGGTTTTCAGCCATCAGTAAAGAGGTGTTCGGTATATCTAAACATTCTTGAGTCGATCGTCATCATGCGATGACACGCGCACATATGGATCCGTCCGACAACTATTTAGCGGCAGCCTTGAGTTTGCCCCAAGTCGTCGTCAATTTCCCAACGGCATCCACAGCGAGGGCCCTTTCCATACTGGCTTTAACTTCCTCAGCAGTGAATGCAACACTCCAAATCTTAAATTCATCAATAGCACCGTTGAAGAAATTGCTGATTGCCCTGACTCGCTGCAATGCACATACCATGGTCACCGAAATCCATGCGGGCATCGCCACCGGACTGAGCTTCATCATCAAGCTCCCCGTTAAGATACAGCCAAGCAGTTTTTTTGTTCTGCGTTCCGACGAAATAGTACCATTCCGGCTCAAAACCTATAGAATTGCTGCGTACCTCTAACTCTGCGCCTTGTGTTGCGAAGTAGAATCCAAACAAAACACCACCACGGTTGAACGTAATATGGGGCCGTCCCACCCACCGTTGAGTCGATATAGCAGATCAATGCGGTTGCCGCCCTCAATTTTCTCCGCCGGTTTGAACCAAAACTCAATCGTCATCTCTTCCGGTTGATCAATGCCGAGCGGATCAAAAGATACAAACCCATTGTTAAACTCAAGTGCCTGACCAACGACCCCTTCAACCCATTTCCCGTTTTTCACATCGCCTGTGAAACCGTTAGGGGGATGTATCGCCAGCCTTGTCCCCTTTCCCCTCATCAAAAGGTAAGTGCATAAGCAAATCTTTGTCCGGATCTGCCGCGTGCCCGAGTACACAACTCATCAAGAAACACTGCAGCTGCGAAAAAATAAACGAATTGTTTCATTTTTATTATGTGTGGGAAAATCACCTGGAAACACGCTCCTATACATGCCATCAGGCATGGAACACCCACTTTCCTCCAATTTTGTGATTATAGGGAAGCCCAATCTAACAGTCAGATTGCAATTTCCCTTAACTTTATGTGTGAGGACGATATGTTTAGGTCCTGCGCTTCTTAATATGGGGACTTTAGTTCTCCCCAAGTAATGGTTAATTTACCAGTCGGTTCAACCGGTAAAACCTCCGGCACATAGCAGTTTCGGAACCCATAAACTACACTAAAAGTACAATTATATTACACAAAAATGTGTAATCTGTCAACTTTCTTCTTATCCTCCCCGGATAGCAGCAATGGTCAAACAGCCCCAACCGACAATAAATGCCAATCCACCGATGGGGTAATCGCGCCGAGCCACCGAATGCCTGTGAGACTCAGCACATAAAGGCTCCCCGAAAAAATTAAGATGCCAGCGAAAAAACACCACCCCGATGCAGCCGTGAGTTGGTTCTGCCATAGTGATACCGCCCACGCAGCAGCAATCAGTCCGAGACTGTGGTACATCTGATACCGCACCGCCAGCTCAAACGTCTCAAGCATCTCCGGTGAGAGTTTTGACTTCAGTGCATGTGCCCCAAACGCTCCAAAAACAACGCCAAGCAGGCTCAAACCTGAACCGAGTGCAAAGAAAAGATTTTGCATGGATTCCTCCTTTCAAAGTAATTGGCTGTCAACCATCGGCGGTCAGCAGTCAGGAAGAGGTCTCTGATACAGATAACCTCCAAAGCCAATACATTGATAGCCTATCTGCTGCGCGCTTACAGTTCTAACTCCGGTTTAAAACTATCCTCATTATAACTTAAATCAGACATCTCATGTCAGATGTTTTTGCAGAAGAATGACACTGAAATAAATATTTTCTTGACATTTTTGATTACACCATGCTAAGATATAATTTTAACGGCATAGCTCGCTCTATTCCGTAGTGGTTAACAGTAAAAGGAGAAATTTTTGGACGTATGAAACAATACAGGACCGATGAGATCCGGAACATTGCAATTATAGCGCATTCAGGAGCAGGCAAGACATCACTCGTTGAGGCGATGCTTTACAACGGTGGTGTGATTGAGCGTATGGGGGCTGTCGATAGTGGAACTTCTGCAGCTGACTATGCCGCAGACGAGATAGAACGCAAAACCACTCTCAACTGTTCAGTCTGTATCGCAGAATGGGAAGGACACAAACTAAATCTGATTGATACCCCCGGGTGCAGAAGATTTTTACGGGGACCTCTATAGCGTACTCCGAATTGTCGACGCGGTCGTCGTTGTCGTTGACGCGACAACAGGCGTCGAAGGTGGTACCGAAAAGGTATGGGAGGTCGCGGACAAATATGGACTTCCGCGTCTCATCTTTATCAATAAGATGGACAAAGAGAACGCCAGTTTTGAAAACGCGCTCGCAAGCATTGAAGATATTTTAGAGACCCGGGCTGTCCCTATCCAACTACCGATTGGGGAAGAGGAAAATTTCGCAGGTGTGGTTGATGTCATACAGATGGCGGCGTATCTACAACCCGATGGCAACAAACGCGCAGCGAAAGCAGAAATTCCCGGAGAATTGGAATCTCAGGCTGAAGAGACCCGCGAAGCACTCGTTGAAGTCGCAGCGGAAAGCGATGACGAACTCATTGAGAAGTTTTTTGAAGGCGAACTCACTGACGAAGAAATTCAGAACGGCTTACAACTCGGCATTTCTGAGAGTCAGTTTGCCCCCGTACTCTGTGGTGCGGCATTGAGCAATACCGGCGTGCAACAATTGATGGATATACTCGTAAACGGATGTCCGTCTCCCGTAGATGTTGGTGCGGTAAAAAGTGCTGAGAATGAAGAGGAAACCCGCGAACCGTTATCAGATGCCCCCATGTCTGCCGTCGTTTTCAAAACTATTGCCGACCCATTTTCTGGACAATTGAGTTTCTTTCGCGTCTATTCCGGTACGCTACAAGCAGACACCCAAGTTAGCAATTCGACACGAGGACAGACAGAACGACTCGGCAAAACGACCTTCATGAACGGTAAGAACGCGATTAGTACACCACAAGTAGAAGCAGGAGATATCGGCGCGCTTACCAAACTTGCGGCGACACAAACCGGCGATACGCTCTGTGACAGAGATGCTTCGATTCAACTTGCGGGTATTGACTTCCCGAACTCGGTGCTCTCTTACGCGATCCGTCCGACGCGTGAAGGTGACGATGAAAAATTGATGACAGCACTCACTCGCATGTCTGAAGAGGACCCGGTATTTAGAATTGAACGGAACGAAGTTACCAAACAGCTTCTCGTATCGGGGCTCGGAGACCAGCACATCACTGTCAATCGCGAGCGGATGGCAGATAAATTCGGCGTAGAGACGGCTGTCGAGCCGCCGAAGGTGCCATACCGTGAGACGATTCGCCGACGCGTCCAATCCGTTCAAGGCAGACACAAGAAACAATCCGGTGGCAGAGGGCAGTTCGGGGATGTCTCGATTAATATGTCACCTCTGGCACGTGGTGAAGGGTTTGAGTTCGTTAACAACATTGTCGGTGGTGCGATCCCGCGCAACTATATCCCTGCTGTCGAAAAGGGCATCCGTGAAAGAATGGGCAGAGGTTTACTGGCTGGTTTCCCGCTCGTCGATATCCAAATCGACCTCTTTGACGGCAAATACCACCCTGTCGATTCTTCAGATATGGCGTTCCAGATCGCCGGTTCCATGGCGTTTGCCACCGCCGTTGAACAAGCCGATCCGGGCTTGCTTGAACCGATTATGAACGTTACAATCACGGTACCGGAACAGTTTATGGGTAACATTATCGGGGACTGAACGGACGGCGTGGACAGGTGATGGGTGTCGAACAAATGGGGAGAAAGCAGGCAATTCAGGCAAACGTCCCGCTTGCAGAGATGCTCCGGTACTCGATTGATCTCAAGTCAATGACGAGTGCCCGTGGCAACTTCACGATGGAATTCTCGCACTACGAAGTTGCACCTGACGATGTTGCGCAGAAGGTAATCGCTGCCTCAAAAACGGAAGAGGAAGAATAGATTAGCGTAAGTCCACGAAAATGCGCAAAAGCGCGGACCCAGACAAAAGATAAACCCGCTGCCGATTCATATCCGCAGCGGGTTTACGTTTAAAGATTAGGACATCCAATGTCTGCGACTAACTATCCAAGTGGAAGATTGCCATCTTCAATTCGGTCATCTCTTCTATGCCGGACTTCGGTCCCTCTTTGCCCATACCGCTCTTTCTGACACCGCCGTATGGCATCAGGTCCGCACGCCACTGTGTGGCCCAGTTCACCATCAGATTGCCAGATTCAACCTCACGGACAAACCACATTGCCCAATCGATGTTCTGTGTGAAAATGGACAATGACAGTTCCAAATCAGAGAAAATATTCCCTTGACATTTCTACTATTTTCGGATAGACTCCTACCAAACTTAACGGACGGAGGTTTGCTCACATGGCGTATAGCAATTGGACCTTAGAAACAGTGAAGAAAGCGTTTCACTTAGAAGAAGTTAACGCCGCCGGCATCTTTTCCGGCGTAGAACCGGTGGCTCCGAGTGCACATCTTACCACGGTACTGGAGCGGAATGTCCCATTGGCCTTTGCTATAGGCACTGAGAAGGCAAAATCAGAACTGATTGTCTCCGCGGTTCTGGTTGAGCTTTGGGAGCACTTCGACCGAGACATCAGTTTTTTTTCGGGGATTGACTTTAATGTTGATGCTGAAAACGGCTTGACCGGCGTTTGTGATTTTTTGATAAGCCTGTCGCCAGCCCAATTTCATTTGGAAGCCCCAGTCATCATCCTTGTTGAAGCAAAAAGGGATAATTTGACGATAGGACTCGGGCAGTGTGTTGCAGAGATGGTTGCCGCTCAATGCTTTAATGCCGAAAGGGAGAATGACATCTCTTGCGTCTATGGTGCCCTTACGTCAGGTATAGATTGGGTATTCCTTAAGTTGGAGGGAAAGAAACTTCAACTTGATATGGCAGCCTACCAGATCGCACAGTGCGACAAAATCCTCGGTATTCTCGCCAGCATGGTAGCACAAAAGGCGTGAGCATGAGTTTGAAGGAAACGGGCAGATTTGGAAATCCGCCCGTTGTCAAAACCCGCTAACTATCCAAGTGGAAGATCGCCATCTTCAATTCGGTCATCTCTTCTATGGCGTACTTCGGTCCCTCTTTACCCATACCGCTCTCTTTGAGACTGTGGGGGTTTTTGGGGTTTGTTTTTGTGTTTTTGTGTTTGTTTTGGGTTTGTGTTTTGGGTTTGGGGGTTTTGTTTGTTTTGTGGGTGTGTTTGTTTGTGTGGGGTTTGGTGTTTTGGTGGTGGGTTGTTTTGTGTTTGGGTTGGGTTGTTTTTTTGTGTGTGGTGTGTTTTTTTGTTTGTGTTTTTTTTTTGTGGGTTGGGGGTTTTGGGGGTTTGTTTTGTTGTGGTTTTTGGTTTTGGTGGTTTTGTTTTTGGGTTTTGGTTGTGTGGGTTGTGTTTTGGTTGTTGGGGTGTGTGGGTGTTTTTGGTTGTGTGTTTTTGGGTTTTTTTGGGTTTTTGTGTGGGTTTTGGTGTGTGGGTGTGTTGGACTAACAATCTTACACATTCTATGTGTGTCTTTTGTGATAACGCCATAAGTAGCAAGTTCGGCAATGATTTCGTTGTCGCGACTAAAGTGTATGCCTTTATCATAGGAGGCAATCCTCATGAGGAAACTTTCAAAGCGAGGGTCTCTGCGGATATTGGTGAGCAGATGCGAAATGTTGGTGTTGTCTTCGTCGAGGAGCTGCACATAAGCCTCGCTGAAGTGCGCCATGGTAATGGTCTCGGCTTTAGGTATTTCGAGTTCCTCCGTGAGAATCTGGGCGAATCGGTTGATGAGGAAAGGCTGTCCGCCCGTCTGTTTGTGAAATATTTCGATGACTTCTGGTGCGAAGAATTGTCCAGTCTCCTCCGTATACTGTGTCAGGAGTTCGCGTACCTGTTCAACGGTAAAGTTGGACAAGTTGAACTCATCTTGGATATTAAATGGGGAAATCGACCTGTCGTAATTCAGTTGTGTGATACTCTTGACACCGATAATGCCTATACTGTAAATGCATCGGTTTTTGCCAGTCAGGTAGATATGGCGTAACGCATTCAGAAAACCACTTACAGCAACTGTGGGGATGCCATCAAATTCATCTATGATAAGGACAACCTTTTGCTCACCATATTCAAGGTTTACGAATCTCGCGAATTTGCTAAAAAACCTTCGCATTGAAAAGGCATTCGTGAGCTCGGTATTTTCCCAAAAATCTGCTAGTGGTTCGGAAGGTGCCCTACCGCGTCTCTGAAAAGTTGTCTGGATTTCCTCACGAAGATCTTCGTAAAGTGCTCCGTAAAAATCGGTCAGAGAAAGTTCTGCATACGTGTCAAAATTCAGTCGAATCGGGAAGTAGGTTGACGCTTCTGCTTCAAGCAGATCTAAGGCGGATTGGAAAAAGGTGGTTTTTCCCGTTTGCCGTGGTGCAAAGAGAACAATGTATCTTCCTTTTTTCACTCTCGTGATGAAATCTGCAAGTTCATCAGCGCGTGTGACAACGTAGTTATCTTCAGGAGACACGGGGCCCCGGGTTTCAAAACATCTCATTTCGGTATTCTCGCCAGCATGATAGCACAAAAGGCGTGAGCATGAGTTTGAAGGCAACGGGCAGATAACGACATCTACCCGTTGCCAAGATCGCTTAACTATCCAAATGGAAGATCGCCATCTTCAATTCGGTCATCTCTTCTATGGCGTACTTCGGTCCCTCTTTGCCCATACCGCTTTCTTTGAGACCACCATACGGCATCAGGTCCGCACGCCACTGTGTACCCCAGTTCACCATCAGATTGCCAGATTCGACCTCGCGGACGAATCGCATCGCCCAATCGATGTTCTGTGTGAAAATCGCGGCACTTAGTCCGTAGTTCGTATCGTTAGCGAGAGCGATAGCCTCATCGATGTTGTTAACACGCGTTACACCGACAGCCGGTCCGAACACTTCGTCACAGGAAATTTTCATCTCCGGCTTGACGTTGGCGAGGATAGCGGGTGTAACAAACTGGTCATACTTCTCACCACCAGTGAGCAGGTCTGCCCCATCCGCAACGGCTTCCTGAATCCATTCGGCGACACGGGTAGCATCGCCTTCTCGGATCATCGGTCCCATCCGCGTGCCTTCTGCAAGTGGGTCGCCGGTGCCGATTTGAGCAACCTCTGCTTGGAACGCATCCAAGAAATCGCCGTAGATTTTCTCGTGTGCGATGACGCGCTGCGTTGAGATACAGACCTGTCCTGCATTAGAGTAACCGGATGCTGCCGCCGCACGTGCTACTTTTTCTGGATCTGCATCGGGCATGACGATGAGCGGTGAATTTGAGCCGAGTTCCATCGTGACACGCTTCAATCCTGCGACCTTACAGATATGCTCGCCGACATCACGGCTGCCGGTAAAGGTAATTTTCCGAACACGTCGGTCTGAGCAGAGCGTATCGCCGATTTCGCCACCGGGTCCTGTTAAACACTGAATTGCTTCAGGCGGGGTGCCTGCTTCCAAAAAAAGTTCGACGAGTTTCAGCGCCGAGAGCGGCGTGTCCGTTGCGGGTTTGATGATAATTGCGTTGCCACCAGCGATTGCGGGACCTGCCTTGTGGCAGACAAGGTGCAAAGGGAAGTTAAACGGACTAATGCCAGCAACAATACCACACGGGACACGCACTGTAAAGCCAAGTTTGTTCTTGACACCCGGCGCGCCTTCAAGCGGAATCGTTTCGCCGGTTAATCGCTTTTGCTTCCTCTGCTGAGAGGGCAATAATTTCAGAAGCACGGGTAGCTTCAACCGTCGCCTCAGCAAGGATTTTGCCTTCCTCGCGGGTGATAACCTCGGCAAGTTCGCCTGCGCGTTCCACCATCAAATCCGCAACTTTCCGCAGAATCTCATAGCGTTCATAGCCGGTCAGTCCAGCCATGATCTTTGCGCCGCGTTCTGCGGTCTGAATAGCGGTTTCAACATCGCTTGCATCCCCTCTGGGGACAGTATCAACCACCGAACCGTCAAACGGACTCAGTACATCAATTTTATTGGATTTGTCAATCCATTCTCCGCCTACGTGCATTTGCATAATCTGTTTCTCCGTTTCTTCTATGGCACAGTGCGTAAGGCAGGCACAAGACCTGCCCCTACAAATGGTGTGCTTGTTATTTTTTTGTTTTTAGCAGTGCCCAAGTCGTTGTTGCCTTTCCAGCTGCATCAACAGCAGCATAGCCGGCTAACCCGCTATCCATGACATCGTTGAGTTCGTCTTCAGAGAGTGCTTCAGTGAAGAATCCGACTTCGTCAAAGAGTCCTGTTGCTGCAACGTTGCCGGGTCGCGCACCTATCCAGATCGGCGATTTACTTGTATCCAACGTCCCACCGCTTGGGTTCTCGCCATCCAATTTCCCATCAACGAACATCTGAACGTTTTTGCCATCATAGATTTTAGCGATATGATGCCACTTGCCATCGGCAATGATAGTTTTACCGTCAATACGTCCGACATTTCCCTTGACGTGCCACATAAACACCGGGTAGTCAGCATCGTGGATCCATATATCAAGATGACGGACATCTTCTGGTTCGGGCCAGACATCCCCGTTCCGCCAGACGATGTATTGCCACGAGGCGGCTTCCAATTTGACCCACGCGACAAACGAGTAGGGATCGGAATTGAAGACATCATCGTGATCAACACGGACGTAGCTATCGCCTTTGCCCGGGAATTTCAATGCGCCGCCGAACTTGCCGTCTTTTACCCAATCAAGGGTGCCCTTGATTTCACCGTCGTGTCCGCTGACGACATCTTTGACGACCTTTCCACCGTTATCCTCAAAGAGCCAAGCACTCGCCAAACCGAGTTTTGCAGCGTGTGCTGTAATACCGAATCCCATCACGAAGATTAGTAAACTCAAAATGACTATGAAAATCTGGGTTTGACAAACAGAAATTACGCTTTTCATCTTGTCCTCCTTAGACGCGGCAATTGTCAAGTGCGTCTTCATTCAATTCAACCCCTAATCCGGGTTTATCAGGAAACAGTTGCGTATCCGTCAACAAGCGGAATCGTTGATGGCGTGACAAGGTCAAACGCACGCAATGCATTAAGCGTAATCGCTGGCATAGTGGCATTCGGCATCACTGCAGCAAGATGCATGACATAGGAGGTTGTGATACCAAGCCCAACAATCTGTATCCAAACTGGGAGATGCGCAGCATTTGAAATTGTCGCTTCCCTTATGGCATTGGCAGCGCGCGAGTCCGGGTAGGCGATAATAAACGAGTCGTTCATCTTTGCCCGAACCGCTTCAATTGGATCCGGGTTCCCGAAGTGAATTGTTATCGGCATATCAGTGTGGCGTTTAATTTCCTGATAGCCTTCAATATCCGCTTGAGGGATCGGCGTTTCAAACGACTCTATATTGTAATCTTGAAGGTGGCGCGCGACCTCAAGTGTGCGTTCCGGTGTCTCAAACGAGTCATTTGCATCAACGCGAAGCTGATAATCATCCGGTACAACAGAGGCGATCGCCTCGACCTGCTCAAGTACTTCAAACCATGGACGTGCTTTGATTTTGTGGAGGCGATAGCCGAGGGCGTAAGCGTGTTTCGCTTCAGCCGCCCATTCCTCTGGTGTCATGTCAATAGACCAATAGGCGAACGACGTTTTGTCATGAACCTTTTCACCTAAAAGCTGATGCACTGGTACGCTGAGTGCCTTGCCCATGATGTCGTAAAATGCCTGCTGAAGCGGTGTCGGTGCCCAGCCGTTCATAAACTCAAACGGATTTCTACCGATATAGCGTTGAATGACTTCATCCGACTGGTGTGAGCCGTCGCCAATTCCGACGAGTCCGACATCGGTATGAACTTTGTAGACGTAGTCAATCTGGTAAAGATTGCGACGCGTCATCAGTTCGTATATGCCTTCATGATACGGCACTCTTACTTTGATAACGTCAATATGTGTAATCTTCATAAGCACCCCCGCATCCGGTTGTCGAGTTTTTCAGCGTTTCGTATCTAAATTATTCATCTCGTCGGATCCAACTGACGACATCCTCAGCCTCGCCTGTTCCGCCTTCAACACCATCACTTCCGAACGAGATGAGATCGTACCCGTACCGGTCATGTATGCCCGGACGGATATAGATATAAGGGTTTCCCCACGGATCCTCCGTAATTGGGATCTGGATGTAGGGTTCCAGCCAGTTTATAGGTATCGGCGGTGCCTCAGGTTTCTCCCAAAGTGCCTTCAAGCCTTGTTCGGTTGACGGATAATCGCCGTTATCTTTGGCATATCTATCAAGAGCGATTCCGAGCGTTTCAATGTCTGCATCGGCTTGTGCTTGTAATGCACGCCCCGCTTGTCCGAGCAACCGAGGTGCGAAAAGCACAGCGGCTATAATCCCGAGGACGACAACGACAACTAAAATTTGTATTGATGTTAATCCTGCTTGTTTAGAATCAATTGATTTCACGCATTTCCTCCACAATCCGCGCATATACATCCAACCTGAAAGGGCAAGGAATTTTGCCATATCATTCGTGTCGGGCATTTTTTTAAGTGTATCATATCCGCGGAATTGTGTCAACTTTTTCATTCAGTTATCAGTTGTCAGCAAAATAGCCGTCAGCAATCAGTCTTCAGTGGTTATCGCGGCCGGGAGGTCGCTCCTACAGCGAAGAGTCCTCAAGCAGAAAATTGAAATCATTGGAGAACTGAATGGCTCTGTGTCTCTATAGAATTCTCTTGACAGACTTTACGACGCGCCATATAATAATTTCCCAGATTTACGCAAACCTCTATAAAACAAGGCGAGGTTGAAAATCTCGCCAGCAAAGAATTAATAAGCGGAGGAATCCGGGAATGGCAAAAACAGTTTGCATTGTTGGAACAATGGACACGAAAGGCATAGAATTCGCATTTATCAAAGCGCAGATAGAATCAGCTGGGGTCTCAACGCGTGTTATCAATACAGGTATATTGGGAGAACCACAATTAACACCGGACATCTCTGCCGATGAAGTCGCACAAGCAGGCGGTTCATCGTTACAGGCATTGCGAGACGAAGGCGACCGAGGCAATAGCGTCACTGTGATGGCGCAGGGTGCCGCAGTACTTGTTGCGGAAAAACAGGCTGCAGGCGAGATTGACGGGATCATCTCACTCGGTGGCTCCGCAGGCACGACCATCGGAACGACAGCAATGCAGGCAGTCCCAGTGGGTGTTCCGAAAATATGGTATCCCACATTGGCATCGGGTGATACCAGCCCTTATGTACAATCAAAAGACATAAGTATGATGTATTCCGTCGTGGACATCGCTGGCATCAACCGTTTGTCACGACAGATTCTCGCTAAGACGCCGCGGGGCAATCGTCGTGGGATGGTGTGAACGCGGAAGCACCCGTAGCAGCGGCAGCGGACAAACGTTAATCGCAGCGACGATGTTCGGTGTAACGACCCCGTGCGTTACAAAGGCAAGAGAACTCCTTGAAGACGCTGGCTATGAAGTTCTCGTGTTTCACGCAACTGGCACCGGTGGGCAAGCGATGGAAGACTTGGTCAAAGGCGGTTTCCTCGTCGGCGTGTTAGACGTGACGACGACTGAACTCGCTGACGAATTGGTAGGCGGAATTCTGAGTGCGGGTCCTGACCGATTGGAAGCCGCAGGTCAATCCGGACTGCCACAAGTATCGCGCCCGGCGCATTGGATATGGTAAACTTCGGTCCACCGGACACTGTGCCAGAGAAATTCAGCGACCGGCTGTTCTACCAGCACAATCCGACAGTGACGTTGATGCGGACAACCGCTGAAGAAACCGCTGAACTCGGACGCATCATGGCACGCAAACTGAGTGAAGCACAGGGACCCACAACAGTCATTATCCCCACCCAAGGCGTATCAGCGATTGACAAAACAGGGCAGCCTTTTGATTCACAGGAAGCGCGCGAGGCATGGCGCGAGAATCTAAAAGCACACATCGGTGACAATGTTACAGTTATTGAGATGGATGCTCACATTAATGACGATGCGTTTGCAACAAAACTTGTAGAAACGTTGTTAGCAAGCATACAGTAGAGAGGAAAGAGATGGCACGAACTTACAGAACACTTACCGAATCAGATGTTAACCATTTCGTTGAGAAAGGACACATTGTCATACAAGACTGCTTTCCACGTGAATTAGCAGAAGAGTGGCGGGGGTTCGCCTTTAAACGGCTCGGTTGTGCCCCAGACGACCCGAGTACTTGGGAAACACCACGCATTCATCTGCCTTCTATGAACCGAGTACCGATTCAGGAGGTCGCGCCGAGGGCATGGGATGCTATCTGCGATCTTGTCGGTGGTGAAGATCGGATTGCAGATCCGTGGGGTAATTCAAAACCGTCATGGGGTGACGGCTTTATTATCAACTTCTCATTAGGTGCAGACACGCCTTGGCAACCGCCTTCTTCAGAGGTGAGCGGTTGGCATAAGGATGGCGATTTCTTCCGTCATTTTCTCGATAGCCCAGAACAGGGACTGCTTACTATCGTTGTCTGGTCGGATATTTATCCAAAAAGCGGTGGGACATTTGTAGCATGCGATTCTGTCCAGCATGTCGCGCAGCGGTTGTATGAGCATCCAGAAGGATTGCCGCCTGGCGGTTTCGGGAAACTCATTGGAAAGTGCAAGGACTTTGCAGAGATTACCGGAAAAGCGGGGGATGTTGTGCTGCTGCATCCGTTCATTTTGCATGCGGCTTCGCAGAATCTGTCTGTCCGCGCTCGTTTTATTACGAATCCACCTGTCGGTCTTGCGGAACCGATGAATTTCAACCGTGAGAATCCGGACGATTTCTCGCCGGTGGAGTTAGCGGTGTTAGATGGATTGGGGAAAGACCGTTTGGATTTCAAACCGACAGCACCGCGGGAACGTTTAGTGCCAGAGCGAGTTCAGCGTCAAAAGAAGATGCTGGAGGAACAGAAGAAGCGACTCGAGATCGGATAGGTCTTTCACAAAAAAGGCGATTGTGCGTCAACCGGTGTGTTGGCTTGGGCAATCGCCTTTATGCGTGTTTTGGTGTTGTTTCCAAAATGTTATACACCTCCCGAAACTGTCTGTTCAATTAGTCCAAGTTGTTGACATGCCTGTTTGAGTTTGAGTTGGACTTGGTTTATCAACTGGGTGACTCGCCCTGGACTGAGATGTAAGGCTTCGGCGATGTCAGCGTTTCGCATGTCCTGACGAATGAAGACGAAAACTTGTCGTTCGCGCGGTGTTAGCACGTTTAGGAGTTGCGGGAGCGCGCGTTCAAAGTTGGCGATCGAGATGTCCCAGATGAGGGCATCAACGAAGGATTCGGTTGTGGGATCCGGGGCGTTTGGCATGAACGGAATATCGGTGTCGGCTTCGGTATCTGCTGTGTTATGCGTATCGGGTGCTTCGATGGGTTCGAGTCTTTCGCGCCCATGATGTATGAATTCTTTTCGCCTTGCGTTGGTGAGGTTAATACAGATACGCGGACGGATAAACGTCCCGAAACTCGCACGGCTTTCATGTGCTGGATCAAAGGCGGCTCCTTTTTCGAGGAGCGTGATGGCGGCGATCTGTAGGAAATCGTCTCGGAAATATGGGAGTGTCGGTGCGACGTACGCCATACAGTCTGCACATCGATTCAGATCGGGGAGTAGGCGTTTGATGTTTTCATTATCAGGGTAGAAAGTGCCGTTGTGTTTGAAAGGCGGGCAATTCGTTCCCTTGCTTTGGCATCTTAATTTCATTGCCTTATGTTCCTCCTATAGACAGGTAGGGCAATTTAGTAAGAAGGTCGCGATTCGGAGATCGTTTCTACTTGCACCCATCTGGTGAGGAATATAATTTATATAGACCATTTTTTTAGCCGTTTTCGTGCAAAATATGACAAAAAGCGAAAAAATGAAAAATTGTTATGAACTATTGACTACTTTTCGACTTTTATCTCCGCCCACTGCGTCGTCAATTTTCCGTGCGGTGAAACCGACAACGCCCCTTCTGTCCAGTCGGGCCACTTCTCATCACTTGCCTCACGTGTCAAACGTCGAAGTCCCCGCGTCTCAAACCCATAGCGATAGATGTTATAATTCGCATTGGGTTTATCGTTAATCTTTATTGAGACGAGCATCGAATGGTCGTTCTCCATCCAACTCGCACCGGCGATAAGAAAATTGTTGCCGAGTCGGTCATTTATATCGGTTATTTCCTGTTTCCCACCGCCGATCCGCTTAACGATGAGCTGCATGACATCTCCATCGCGAAACCATTTCGATTCATAAAAGAGTATTCGTTGTCCGTCTGCCGACCAGCGCGGAAAGTACTTCGAAGTGAGCGGTCCGTCAAGCAGCGGATCGGGGAGGACAGGGCGCTGGTGCTGCCCGTCCGCATCCATGACGTAGATCGTTTTCGGGTCGATTCCGTTAGGAATTATGAACCGCGAAAAAGCGATCTGTGTGCCATCTGGCGACCAGTCGGGAGAAGCGGAAGGGGCATCCGCGCCACCACTTGTTAACTGTTTGACGGCGAGCGTCGCAAGTTCTATGACGAACACCTCCCATTCTCCACTGTCGGGTACTCGCAAAGGCGATCTGTGTGCCATCTGGCGACCAGCACGAATACGCATCGATGACGTTGTTATGGGTGAGGCGTTGTGGGTCTGTGCCATCTGCGTTCATGATAAACACCTCCGCTGTGGTTTGTGTCTTCGTCCTGTCCATGTATCGGGTAAACGTGATTCTTTTGCCATCGGGCGACCAACGAGGATTGGTATCTAATGCCGTTGTGTTGTGCGTGAGCCTGCGTCTGCGGGAGCCGTCATCGTTCATGACGTAAATATCATCATCGACACAAAACACGATCTTCGCGTCAACCGAAGAACTGTCGCACCCGCGAGCAAGAGCATCCAGCCAGCGAAGAAAAAACTTATTGTTCGTGAGCGCAAGGCGTGGTTTTTATGGTTCATCTGTTGATGCCTCCTGTAATACCAAATTAACCCAATTTGTAGCGCGAGGTCCCTGTGCCTCGCAATGCTGACTTGATCAAAAGACTTCTAATCAAGTTAATTTGGTATTAGATATACCGTTGAACAACGAGAATTCAATATCGAATGTCATCAAATTTCGCTTGGGGAAGGTTTCGCCTTCCCTTGCATATTATAGTAAAACCCACAATTAACTATACATTGGCGAGGTTAGGAATGCAGATCGCATTTGGGTGAGTACACCGCAAAACCTCGCCAGCGAGGGAGTATGTGCAGGATTGTTATTCATTGAAATGTCAACATATTTTCGGGCTTTACTATAATATAGAAATGAAACTGCGAAAGTTAAGACCTAATTTGCATTTTTTCACTGATTTTTTCAGAATTCTCCGTTTTTTTT